TTCCTGCTCAGGCATCCAAAGCAAACTTTTCAATAAAAAATACACTGATTGAGGATACCCTCAGGAAAAAACCACTTATGAGTGACAGGAAGCCGACTGCTGAAAACATACATCGCACTCTCTCTCTCATCTATATACAAACACTTCAGAAGCTAGAGAGAAGCTATAAAACCTAGTTTGGGTATTAATTTCCTGTTTTCTTCTGAAAACTAACTCCTCATAGCAAGCATAAATTGACAGGTAGCGGATCTTTTCTCTTCTGCTTGCTCTGTGGTAGCCAGCATATGGGGTCCTGGCCAGGCTTGGGTTGAGGGGGACAGGCTCTATCACCACCTGCTACTTGCCCACTAAATAAGGGTGTGGTTTGCATTCTTTAGCGGCCTCGTTGTTCCGAAATGCAACAAATGCATCTCAGAAGCATTATGTTTACAATAAAATTCTTTGAAATTCATACTCAGAACTAAACAAGGACTTTCAGAATAAACATTTTCATTACATAAAAGTTTCTGTAGCCAGTATGAACTTCCACTAACTGAAATAGGAATATTTAGCTGTAACACTTTCCAAGTAAAATACATTTTAATGAACCTCTAGAGGCATGAATCATATGTCTTCTCTTGGGTTTTCTCCTCCTCTAAGTCAGAGAAACTAATTTTCTTGGAGCAGATCTGTTTTGCCCAACGATAGAGGAAAATATAACAATGGGCAAAGGAATCGGGCAAACACTCAGCCTCCCTCTTCGGTGCAGCGGAACAGCAAACGGCTGCAGTTACAGCAGTGTTCCGGTCTCCATCCCCTATCAACGCAACACATGCTCAGGCTTGGAACCACTGGCATTCAGCAATGGTCTGAATGTGAGACTGCTCTCCCTGTGGTAAGTGAACAAAACTGGAAAAGCCATTTAATTTTATGAGATATCTTAATCACTTTGTGCTTATTAATAAAAAAAATAGTTTTCCCTGATGGAAGGAAAAAGACTGACATTTCCATCTCCAATAGGAAACAACCAGACATCATCAGAAAATTATGACATGCCCCAAGACAGCATTAGCTTGTGCAGCAATTTTCATGCTCTTGAATCAAACTCAATTCGCAAATGGAGGAACAAATTAAGAAAATGACCATAAACCCAGGAATCCTGGTGACCTGACAATACGATAATGATGACCCTAAACAGCTGAAAGAGTTGGAAAGCAAAACACCATGTTTGAGAAAGGGCAAGGTTCTTAGTAGGGATAGTGACTCAGAAACAGGTTTCAACCATTTTGTAGAAATAACTGAAAACTCACAAGCATTTACTATTAACGTATTAAGCCAAACAATTACTTTAACACCAGAAAATCTGCCCCAGGAACACTGATGCAAAATTGTCTGCTGTCAAGATCTCAGGTAACCAACCCTAGATGCAGTTCCCTTATGTGAAAAGGCATTCTCAGTTCTAAAAGCAGGTGTTTCAGAAGAACTGGGCTTGCATAATGCCAGTTGTATTTGGGTTTTGGGAAATATTTATCATAATAAAATTTGATAAAATTGTACCTGCTGCCTTTTCTTACAAGTGTTTTGGATACATTAACACAACTTATTCAATTAAGTGTATATTAAAAATTCAATCACTGCTATACTTCAGAGTACTTTTTGCTGACAGATAAGAACTATGGACATTTCACATTTATTCATTATTTCAGCTTTTTCTGTGAAAATTCTCACTTTTTAATATCTGAGGTATTCTGGGTGAGAATCCTGAAACATTCACATTTACAATGGAAGTCTTAGACCTGAAAAGTTGTTCTGTACAGTCTCTGTCTTTTGAATGTGACAGACTTTTTACACGTCCATTATACTACATATATATATTATATATATATGTGTGTGTGTGTGTGTGTGATATACATATATGTATATATAGATGTGGTAAAAATATATATACATATATATATATGTATATGCATGTATACACACATATATATGTATGCATGGGACAACCCATCAAATACACCCCTATAGTCTTCCTGGCTCTGTTATTTAGCAGCATGAAAAGAAAAATAAAACAGTTCAAAACCCAAAGGTGAATTCTGTGCGGCGGGTGCCTTGGGGAATGTTCCTTCCGGAGTCCATCGTCCGTACTGAAAGTGCTGTGCTCTACCGATCCTTCATTTTTAGGGTTCATTTGGATTAGTGTTTTGTTTTTGTTTTTTCTGTCCAGGCGAGAAATCAGGCTCCAGAAACAGGGCTGTTCCCCCTTCTTTTCCGCTGCTCACCGTCTCGGTTTTTCACATCTGTCAGAGAGGAGAGGGAAGGAAAAAAAAAGAGAGGAGGGGTTAATGTTTGTGATGAGGGTGCAAGGAGGACAGGGAAGGGAAGGAAGGGAGGTGGCTAATGTGTTTAAGAGCACATGGTGTTAAGACATGGCGTGACGTCACTGGTGGGGTGAAGTGCTGTGCAGATGGGGCAAACCAGCTGAGAATCTCGACCCATGAATGGGTTGATGAATTCTATTCCCCCAGGCTCACCTAGACGGGGTGGGGGAGGATCTTGGTACAGGGGTAATTTTAGGAGCAGAATCAGAGGCTTCCTCACAGGTGAGCCACGTGTCTTGTTTGCATCCTCTCACACCATGCACACATAGATACACACAAGCACGCAGAAAAACAAGGCTAACCAATGCATGCAGAAAGACACACTCCCCCGGGTCTCCTACTAGCCTCTTGTTTGGGTTGGAAGCAATGCAGACAACAAGGCCTCATGCAGGCAAGAAGGTGAAAAAAAAATGCCTCTCATTCCACTAGCTGTCATGAGCAGGGGTTAGCACCAGAGAACAGCAGCAGCAGCCGAAGGGAGGTGGCTAATGTGTTTAAGAGCACATGGTGTTAAGACATGGCGTGACGTCACTGGTGGGGTGAAGTGCTGTGCAGATGGGGCAAACCAGCTGAGAATCTCGACCCATGAATGGGTTGATGAATTCTATTCCCCCAGGCTCACCTAGACGGGGCGGGGGAGGATCTTGGTACAGGGGTAATTTTAGGAGCAGAATCAGAGGCTTCCTCACAGGTGAGCCACGTGTCTTGTTTGCATCCTCTCACACCATGCACACATAGATACACACAAGCACGCAGAAAAACAAGGCTAACCAATGCATGCAGAAAGACACACTCCCCCGGGTCTCCTACTAGCCTCTTGTTTGGGTTGGAAGCAATGCAGACAACAAGGCCTCATGCAGGCAAGAAGGTGAAAAAAAAAGTGCCTCTCATTCCACTAGCTGTCATGAGCAGGGGTTAGCACCAGAGAACAGCAGCAGCAGCCTGAAGAAGCAGCAGGAGAAATGAGAATTTACCCTCCCCTGTAGGGCCCAATTCTAATTCTACAAGAAAGAGCATGAGGAACTTCAGTTTAACCAGCTTTTTATCTGCAAACAGATAAGCTACCCGCTCCTATGACTCCTTCCTAACTTTCTGGCCAGCACACCAGCTCGGGAAACCTCCCTTAGTGCCAACTATCCCACCACAGAGGGGAACTTGTAAGAGAAACCAATAAACCCCTTCTGCCATCATGACTTCTTTGGGGTATTGTTTGGTTTTTTCTATTTATTTTGTGACTATTTCTCACCCTTCAAACTCTGTAGGGTAATTTGCAGTTATTCTGGGGTTTGGGAACAGAGGCAGAAGGAAAAGGCCAAAGTTAGGTCTGGTCTCAATGCTTCAGGGGTTACACTCACTGGGAGTTCAACTCCAGAAGTTGCTCTATTCTGGCCCCTCCATCAATTACTTTCCCACGGAAATTACAGCACCCCAGACAATTTCTCTGTATACAGAGCAGTTTCCACCACACTGGCAGTGCCAACACCTCGCCAGTTTGGGCGAGCATCATTCTCACACCTAAAGGAAGCACTTGCTACAAGTAGTAGCAGCCTTAGTCACCTAGCCAATTCCAGGCAGGCAAACAGAGGCAAAAGGCTGTCTCCTCTTTCAGGATGTAGCCACAGGGGATGCTGGATGTCTCTCCCTTATTCTCTCCCCTCCCGCC